AACGAAACTGTGGTTTGAAATAATTGACCATTTCTTAGTGAAATGTTTCTTTTATCATATCATTGTGAGATATGTCGTATAACTTACCTAGAATATAATTGTGTTTAAAACAAGAATAAATAATAACAATATATATTTTGATAAATTTATTTTAAACAACAATTAGAAATTACATCAAACAATAAAATATATAAGATAGAGATCAACATCTTTATAACAACTCTCCACAGCACTATGAAACCACTGGATCAAAATACTGACAGTGCACATCATGAAAATGTACATAATATGATATTACAAATGTTATCATCCGAGCCAGTGCATATCACTATATCTTCAAAACACTGCAAATGTGGAACATTTCATTTTGTTCGCAATTTTCATGAACTGTTTTTATTATCAACTTCGATATCTTAGAAAGTAAATGATTGATGCTCCATTTTGATGGGTAGATGGTCAAAATGATTTGCCGACTAAAAGTGCTCTCCCCTGCACGTGCTCTTTTAGAGTCTGACACATATTCAATATTTTTAGAAGATAACAATTATTAAATATATGAATGGTAAAGAGTGAAAGGCCTTGCGTTTAGTTTATAATTGTTTAAAACATATCTAGGTGTAACTTATACCGAATAATAATATAAAAAGTGAATTTGAATGAACACCGGTATTTCATGATAGAAATAATGATGAAAATATATCTTTTTATAACTGTTTGTGTCTGAATTATTGACTACGTTGCAAAAAGTATCTCCAAAACGAAACATATCACAATAAGTGTATGGACGAGGTTGTACTAAAAGCAATGAGGGATTTTCCTAATTATTAATGTTCAATCACATTGAAAATTATTATTAATTATGTAAACATCCACTCTCACACACTTTACCTTCATTTAGCATTCATTTGTAGAAAAAGGACCATTTACAACATATACAGCAAAAATATTTCAAAATATTTTTCTCCATATGCAAAAATATCACAATAGATATTTATCATTCAGTCATCTCCTCACATTTGCATTGTGATTGCACAACATTCAGCTTTGTACGGCTGATGTAACGGTACATAGAATCTCATTACAGGACATTACACGATAAATATCGCAGTAGAACAAAACCTAACGAGCACAGTCTGCACATGTTTATATAGCTAGCGTGTCAGCCCATGTATGTCAGTCTTGGAAACACAAGGACACAAATATAACAAATACTTTCGATCACGAATGCTCATCAACAACATATACTAACGTACGATGTTGTACCTAGGGTACAAACAAACACACAATTCTTAAGAATACTGTAACATACTCTGGTATACGTCATATACGTCAAACAGAACATGATGTTTCAATGATCATGGTAATTGTATTGAGAACGTAATACATTTGAAAATCGTACATGATTGTCGATGTACGTCCTATTTATTAAACTAGTTCTTTTATACTGTTTATCATATAACCCGTATTTCTACAAATAATCGAAAACTCAAATCAGTTTTATTTATAGACAGACTTACTCGAAGAGGACGGTTTCACTACCGACACAATCATGTGACGTCATCAAGATATGACTAATCTATGACGTTACATTAGTATTATGACATATGACATGGCCGTATGAAATTAATCAACACGCAAGTTATGTGATTTAACGTAAAATATTATACAATATATACACAAGGTTTACAATGTATATTATATGATATGAATATGTATTATGAGTTGGGAAACAAGTTTCAATGTAAATTTTAACGATTTTTTTTTCGGTATGATTTTATGTAAGATATTGGTGGGCTTCGAAAAGAAGGAAATTGTACAAAGGGTTAAGAGTTTTGATGCAAAATAGAGAGCGAAAAGAACTATAAATCTTTACTTAAATTAAAATTTTCATTATACTTAAAGACCGCAAGTTTATCGCCTGACTTTGAAATAATAAAGCATTTATATATATAGATTTAAGATATAATTCAATTTAACCTATTACTAAAGTGATATAACCTGTCTAGCGATACATTAGAGAATACTTTTATGTTTGTTAAATCACTTTTGTTATTTTGTTTGTCTTTTGTTCACAACGAGCTAGAAACACATGTACTCAATTGTAGCAACAAACACCACGATGTGAGAAAGCAAAAGAGGATATTAGTCAAGCTACTGGGAACAGCACGCGCAGATAATTTAATTAAACAGACACATAACAGCCATCGACCCAGACCAACTAACTTTAGAGTGTCTATACATACTCCTCTCTTATGTCGTACGAGTTACTGGAATGGAACATTTAAAAACTCGTTTGAAGTTGATGCATCGATCCTTACATAATTGTACAGGGAGATTTTCACTGACTTCAATATATAGGATTCACTATACATTTCACTGCTTAGCTGTAACAAAAAAAACTATTTTTTTTACAAAAAAAGAGAAATACGTTGACTGAAGCCACGAGTGGTATATGTACTCCAATCAATATATACTACACCTTTGATAAAAATGTGGTATTATGACGAAAAAGGAAAATTGTTCTGAATCAATTTTATCTAGCTATTATCTATAAAAGCTTATTGTATCAATCATATTTCAAAGTCTAAACACATAAATACAGCAATGTTTAAATACACTTAATCGGTCCTTTGACAGGACAGAAATAAAACTGTTTATCATACCACAATTCTGATTGCGGTGCTGCACACCGTGAAAAATGTCCATACAAATGACACAACTAACACTGCATTGGTCCCAATCGTACATGAAATCTATCGCGTGAGGACACGGGCTTGATCTCTGTTTTCGAAAAATAGGCTGTAGCAGATTATTATCGTTACTTGTGTTAAGTTAGAAACAATGACATTCAACAGACATCGAAGGAGAAAGTTGCAAAAAAGACTTAATGTTATTTTAAAGCTGTCTCAAAAATTATTATTTTAATGGTTTGATATAATCGAATAAAAGAGGAAAAAATAACAATACAGTAGTGTTGAAAGGTTTTAACATTATTCGTACTATTCATTAACCAACATCACATGACCAGCTATGAATAATATTCGTGACTGCAACGGTATGAAAACAACAAGACAATTCCAACATGTCAACATAATCATAATTAAAATTCAATTCAAAAGGGGCAAATATAGATAAAAGAAAGATTTACACGGGAAATTATAAAAAGGTACATATATAAATAATAACATCAGTTGTTCCAGAAGAATAAGCGTCTTCTGCTTCATCGACGACACCAGCCATGTTTAGCTTAGTCAATCCAAATAAAATACATAAAGCATGCAGTCAGTAATATACTGTTCCTTAACTGAAAGATTCCAACTTTGTTTTTCTAATTCTGTGAAGTCAATTCAATAATCGCAAAGAGGCAGTTAGTCATAGCACGTATCGTAACCGAGATCATGATTGTAAAATCGACGGGTTCTTTGTTTACAGCAAGAAGATAATGTCAATATGTTTACAAAAGAATCATTCAACCATAATATTAAATTAATGAACAAAGGAAACGAGACCCTCGAAAGGATCATGTAGAATAAGACCAGGCGTTCTTTTCTTTATTGATGTCACCCACTATGTAAATCTATGTGTAAGCAGTATTAAATTTTCAAGTTAGAGTCATATATTTATAAAGAAACCACCAAGTTTACGTGCGATCATAAAACAACACTATTGGACAAGGAAACAGAACATTTCACAACGCAAAGGTGCAATAAAAATCAACTTACTCTACCACGGTCCTAATCATTCTGCATCACATCTCTGACATACTTAGATATTAGCTCACAGCCTTGGCATGTTTTAAAAGAGATCATATATGATTATGTACCTTTGTATATATATTGTCTATCAAATGACATCAAAGGATATCTAAATAAGTAATTAATAAATAATAAATAAGTTGTCATTTGTTGAATCGATATAACGTTCAACGTCTGTTGCCTTCCTGTCAATCGTTTTACATAATAAAAGACATACGCCCTTCATCGAAGTGTTCATTCCTTCAAACACCATTAAGTTTGTATTATTATGCACATGTTATCAAATCATCAAAACATCTACGAATCTACATATTTAAGTATTGAAACATAATTCGATGCATTATCTTTGAATATACAGCGACAATGACGATATCAAGGCACTGTGAGCAGCAATGTTTGCAACGAAGCTGTGCTGAATTGACTGATTAAGACAAATGATATGTACTAATATATACACATAGCACGTTACTGAGAGAGTTTAGCAATATACCATAGTATAACTACTCTTTACAGCTGCCTAGCCGCCTGTTGACAATTCCTACTATGATTTGTTGTAAGGCTTTGTTAAATATTACCTGGTGACACACTAACTTCACTTACATGACCTTTATATAACTTATGTGATTTATTTCAATATTTTATTGAAAAGGGAAAGACATTTTGTTTCTCTATTATATCTTGCGATTTTAGCTTTTTCATATCTTCGTGAATTTCTGGTTTTATTAATATCCTTGTAATTATCATAAACGACATCGAATAGAAATTAATATATTGTAATTGAGTCAAAATAGGTCATGTCACATATATGAGTAAACTTATGTGTAACATAATCCCGTTAACAAAGATAATTAAGACAACATGTGATGAATGTATCTCACGGTTAAGTTCAAATGTTACTGTTTAAATCATAAGTCCTACAATAGAGTAAATAAAGCAAATATGACACATATATTTAAAGGATGTTATCATTTTTACTATTCGCCTATCTTGCCTTGCGTAAAAAACCAACAAATAAAACATTTTACTGTATTGCACAATGAAAGTGATATTTGAATATTAAAATTTGGAAATAAATATTTTTCAAATGTCACCATTGTGCTTTCAACTATGTGTGTATAAATTGCACAGGGAAACTTTCTTCGTGACGTTCATCAGATGGTTGATGGAACCAAATCTATCTTTTTACAATTGTTAATCACGTGACATCAATAGCCCGGGAAAAACAGGCGTGGTCAGTCCATTAGATTATTCTTGGATGGCCTGTTCCGGACTGAGTAAACAGGGCGGGGACTGGCACACATATTCACTATCGAGGGACGGCAGCTGGGAAATTTGGATTTCCGACAAATGGATTTCTACTAGACGGGAGTTGATGTTCCCATCATTGCGACCAATCGGAGAACTTACGTCGGACAATTTGCCTTTTCGGATTTTTTTGTTAAGAAGTATGCTGAATGGATTTCTGATGCATGAACAGTCATCGGCACAACTTGCTAGAGGTAGTCTTAACAGCGCATGTCTGAAACTTTTAGCGCAAGCACTGTATAACACAAAATTGACTGCAAAATTTGTGTAGTATAAAATTTGAACAATGTGCTGCCAGTAAATTTCCGTACGAGACACAGCGTAGTGTGACTCTGTGATGCTACGAAAGAAAAACTGCACACGTATGGCATGACTTGGTAGATTCAGTACAACAAAAACTATAACTACAACTACCAACATGCGCTTGAGCTTCGCCTGTGCTTTTACAGCCTGCTTTGCGACACGGTCGTGAGCACCAGTCGATTCGTTGCTGTCGAGTTGAGAATCACTCACACTGTTGTTGTTTGAACCGTTTCTGTTTTCGGGTGTCTTTTTGTATAACCTCGAGATATCTATTAACAGACGTGTTGTCATGAAGATTATCATAGAAAAAGGCAGTAAGAGCGTTAGAAATGTGTCTAGTATCGACAAAACCATCATTGTGTCTCTATCACTAGATGTCGACATACATTTCTGTTCGGTCCCGTCAGTTGCAACTTTTGCAGTCCAGAAGGCAAACATGTAAAATAGAGCTGCAAACGATGTCAGACCAATCACGGCCCGTCGGGCAAATCTTGGTTTACACACTTTAGCGCTTTTTGTGGAATGGAAAACGGCGACATACATCTCTATAGTGAACGCGTTTACATACCATACTGATGTAAAACTAAACACAAACGTCATGTAGACGACGATCTGACAAATTCCATTTGTGTGAAAGAAGCGTATTCCCATTGCGTCAAGCCATCCAAATCCTACACAAAACAAGAATCCAGTGTCCGAGATGGACAGCGCCGCTAAGTAAACCGACGTGGAAATACGCTTAAGACGGGAGCATATGAAAACAAAAAATGATATAGTATTTCCCAGGAATCCGGTTACTATAATGATAGGCAATAGATATCTGTTTGCGTAAATGACAAGTGTTTGAAGAGCAACGTTATCCTCATCGTCTTCATCTTGGTAATTTGTGTCAACGGATCCGTTCGAAATGGTAGTATTGTATGAAACGTCCTGCATCCTTTTTCCTTGTTGTGGCTGGATTCAGTTAATGTTGCACATTGTCACTGGTATGACCTGTGATTTCCACTGCATTTCGCCTGTAACATAAAGCACTGCATCAATGTTGTATTGCCTTTCTGTCACTGACCTGACGGAATCAATACTCCATCTTTATTTTCAATTTTTGTTTTTTTCTAGTATGTAAATCATCAACTAATTATTTATCTATCAATGGGCTTATACATTATTATATTAGAAAATTTAAAAGGGTAATGTTTGAACTATGTGAGAACCAGTGTTGATATTCAGATAATACCACTATTGCGTATGTATCCAATCGCACATGTTAAAAGAACGATAATTTCTATCGCAAGTCGAAAAGATCTAGAACAAGATAAGACAACTTAAGCAGATAATCTTTTTTAAAAAAATATGGAAATCAGACTTCATGTAAAAAGTGTCATTCTCACAAATCTTAAGAGTATTTCAAGTTCAATTGAAAATAAACCTTTCTTCACAAAGTAATACTTATGCAATATTATTTATATAATAGCGTAAATTCTTCTGCAACAGAATAAAGACAGCTTAATTAAGTCCTTAATCTATACCTGTATTATTATAACAAACCTGAATAATATAAAATTTATGAAAGTCCTACATCAAATTATAGTTCACTAACGTCGATATAAATATTTTCCATACAACAATTGAGGATTGGTGTCGAGGCGTACATGTTTTATAGAAACGTCTCACAACTGTGCCTGAAAAATATGTAAAAATAATAGATATTCTGCTTCCTTTAAATAACAAAGCGTGGATGAATAATTCCAACCAATTAAAGATTTTTGCTAGTGTTTCCATTATCGATGGCCACGCCCAATGCAGCATCATTTTACTCCCTTGGAACCTTGATTGATGTTTTCGTCGGTATATCCTTGAGATAGCAATAAAATTATTGACTTTTCAAAAAAAATTGATAGATAATTACCACCCATTATGTACTCTAAGTACAATCGGCTATTTAACTAACCAAAAACATAATTTAACTTACAAAACCTATTATAGATATTGCATATTTTACCAATGGCTGGTGTTTGTAATATAAGCGGATGCATTTATCATTTATATCTTTTCATTTATTTCACGTGTGAAATTATTGGCTGTTTTCTATAGGTACCAACAACTTTTATAAAACGTTATGTTATAAAGCTTTATATTTACAATACTTGATATTATGAATTACCTTGGTTGTTCATGATTTGAAAATTTGTTTACACCACCAAGCTATTGATATATAAGCACAGGAATCAATAACGAACAAACATCCATGGAATTGTAACAATCAAATTGACACCCAAGGATACGAATGATTCCTCCATCCAAATGGGAAAACAAACTCAAATCAGCTTAATAAAAAAAACGTAGATACCTCCGTGTAGATTATCCATACCACTGCAACCCCGTTTATCTAAGCCTTTTGAAATACATCTAATTAACCTACCTGCAATAAAGCACTATTGCCTGTCACGAAACAACGCTAGTCGATAGAAAGCGACAGCAGAATATGTAATTTACAGGTTAATGTTACATTATATAGGGCACAGAAATGGAAGCACACATGAGCTGGCGTTGCCAACAACATGTCACACCTTTCTCTATTTCATAAAGGTCATAGGTAGTCAATCTGTTAAATGTATAGCAGATTAGAGAAATCAGAATCCTGCTACCTTCACGGACTTCCCAAAATAAAAGTACAGTAAAATTTATTTAGAAGGAAATGAAATAAGAATATTGAATGAAGTTAACTACTGATGATTAAAGACAGCATTTTTCAACCATAATGACACAAGATACAAGTATTGTGTGAACTTGATCTTTCGAAAGCACGGCGAATAAATTAGGGATTGATTTTTACAGTCTATGTTCTGTACTCGAATCGAAGTGTAATCTCGTTATTGTAACTACATATGAAATGGTCTACCGTGTAAAACATGTGGTTACCTTGGCGATAACAGTCATATCCCATGTTTACCGGAAGCAGTAGGGAGCGCCACTTGCTTCATATTGAAATCATGTCCATATAACATTTGAGAGGTCAAAGCAAACCATGCGCGTTTACATACAGATAAATTTATGGTAAGACCTTAGAATTTTGCAAGGCTAATTGCCACGCGGTTTTTATCAAGGAATACTGTAGAGTTGGGGTGAACAAACAACCTCAAACCATGCGTAGATTTGGTTATTAAGATTTAAGATTTATTAAGTACAAGTATTATGACATGAACTTCAAAATTAATGAAATATTTCAGCAAAATTGAGAATAAATGTACAATTGTAGAAAAAGGCTATATATTCAAACTTATAAAAAGAATAAAAGTCACTTACCAAGGACGTGGCTATAAGAGATGAACATTACTTATATGTTCAGCATTGAGTGTCGTATGTGGAAGTGGTCCAGGGGAATAGGTGTGCAGGGTATTTACAGGTGACTTGCATGCTCAAATCCTCACCCGTTCACTCTTTCAACCAATCAGAACACTTCTTTCCACATTCCTTACATACCAACGGAACAGGCAATCGCGCGACTGGTCAACCCTGACCAATACTCACTAAATGTATGCAGTCCATGCATGGATATATATATATATATATAATAGACATAATTTCTAATACACACACACACACACACACAAATATATATATATATATATATATATATATATATATATATATGCACTGGGCTACAATACAAAAAGTGGAGTTTAGGTAAGTTTTATGTAGAGGTAAACAACACAATGGTATACGGACCCATCACAAAATAGCAATGACAGGGGATTCTCCCACCATTCACAGCTGTTTCTCCCGTTTTAGCCGTGAAAAGATCAACTTGTCACCCTCTAGGGCACGTGCTAAACCGGAAGTTCGTCCGAAACTACTTCTGGATTGTAAACAAACCTCGTCTGCTAGCTATCGATATCCAGAAACAAATCCTAACTTTACATAACAGAATTGGTATCAATCATGAACTTCAAAATAGGAAGTGTTTTTAGGGTAGATGCAAATGGTAAGATTGGGAAATTATTTGACACTTTTCGCCCCATAGGAACATATTTCATGTCATGTCGACAAGTGTACGCTTTGAAGTGACAGCGAGAAAAACGACTGTTTATATATGAATGTGGTATACATCGCATATGTTTATCCATTTCATTGATATATAATGTATGAAATACTACATTGTAAATGATTAATTAATAAATATAATTGTTCCGTAATGATTTACTACAAACGGTGACGCCATGAAAGGTGAATGGTGATATTCATGGGTATGGGGAGGATTCTATTAATCACTGAAAACAGGTTAAGTTTTACGTTAATCCTAACTTTTTATGTATCGTTTTATTCATTGATAAAATCTGAGAATCTTAAAATAATAAAACTGATGATCAGATCAGTAACCTCTAACACGAACAAATTTATGTTCACGTATCCTGTAAGAAACTTCCATTTCCTTTGCTCCAGCAAGGTCAACATACGGGTCATTATCAGATTAAACAGCGTTCCGATGCAATGTGATATTTATCTTATTTATTGTTTATGATGTCTATCACCACCAATATAAATCACGTAAACGTGAGATGGATCGAAGCATTAAATGACATATATATCGTGACAAACTTACAAACTATAAAATCATAATTATGTTAACTTTAGTTAGTCCAGCTGTTCGGTATACCAAGGTTGTGATCAGGTACTCACCTCCTTTGGTGCTGATTGACCTGCAAGGGTGATGCATGTCAGGAAGAGGATTATTTACAGAAGCCTTTCAGCGTGGTTTAGTGTAAAGCATACTTTGCTGTATTGAAAAGAGGTGCTTTTAGATAGATTTAGATGATATTTCGACTGATCAGCAGGGAGGCAACCACAGCCAAGAACAACTTGGATACAGGGACATAATATCTACCTTTCAATATTCAATGTGAAATCCTGTACACTCAAACTTATTTCCATTCCCTTGCTGTGTCGTTTTATATCGATTGAAGTAAATTTTTAAACGTGACAAAAAATAGACGTTAGCAATTTAGCGGTGCCGTTTGGTCGTCATTTTAACAATATCACTAGATAACTACAATGTTATGTTTAACTTTAAAATCAATACAAATACACTTTAAGCTTTAAAATATAGGTTTAACTATATCATAGATTAAAAGTACTAAAGTACTTGTGGTCCTTATTTAATTGTTTTAAAGAGAAATCATATGACATTACAGCTTATTGTTTTAATATGTGTTTTCCCTTTCGGAGGAATAGGGGTGGGGTTTGGTTAGCGTTTTCTTTAAAATTTCAAAATTACGGATTTTTCTTGTATTTCCTTTTTTGAGGGGTGTTTATTTATTTATTTATCTTTTTCAAACAAAAGAAGTATTTTTACTTTATTCATGACAAGGTAATATATTAACTAGAAAAATCTAAAACACATGCATGTAGAAGCTACATGCCAAAGACTGAGAAAAACGAACAAAATGGATAGGGCTAATGGATCTGAGATAAAACGCTGTCTAGTTTCGAACATAAAATAAAAATGGCTCCGCTGGCAGGTCGCTGCTGCGGTGTGATTATTGCGTTTAAGTTTTTAGATCACAATGGCGTATTTTACTAACAAGATCAATCAACCATGTCCTTACCGGACAGTTCACGTTTATACATCGTATTTACATTCCCCTGCTATGCTGTTGCCCACTTTCCATATTTTAAATTTATCTGATATAATTAAGACGATTTCGACATTGTGTTTATTCATAGTGGACACGTGCGGGATGTAGTCACGGTATTTTAGATCACTCTTTTATTGGTAAGCCATGGTATTGTACAAGTCGCTTCTTAAGAGAGTTGCCAGATGGAATCAACAAGATATTATTCTAATCAAAAGTAAATCATTAACTTTGTTGTTAAGTGACAGCTTAAAATAGATGTACAAGGATGTGTTTGAGTAGACCAAAAAACGACAGTGAGTTAAG